TCCAAGAAAGCAACTGTCAGGAAGGTATATAAAAATATAACCTTAAAAGTCACTGACTTCTAAGAGCTCAAGCTCATTCTCAAAGTGAAGAAGGACTACTACTAAGTATAGACTTCACAATGTTTTTAAATATCTTCAGGAATGCAGGGAAGGTTGCAGGAGGGAGGGGGGAAATATTCCCCCAGGAAGGAGAAAGGTGGGTATTTGACATGGGTAGCTGGAACTGCTCTTAGGAAGCACCATTGACTGACCCTGAACCTGAGCTTTTACATTTACAATTTACAAATTAGATTATATTAATACATCCCTGTAAAATAAAAACTGAAAAAAAAAATCTATTCTCTGATTTAAAATAGACAACACTATTCATACAAATAATATATAACAAATTCTTGGGACAACTGACAGACATGCACTTACATTGACAGCAGCCAAAGTACCAGCCAGTTCCTGAAGACCCGTGACTGGTTAGTAAAGCAAGTGGATCACCCCAAACCCACCCATGTCAGCCCAGAGCTACAGATATTGTTAGCATTGGGCATGAGTTGAAAAAGCACTGCTGGTGTCCCAAGCATTTCTAGAAGAAACAGCATCTGGGCAAGCAGCCAGCCATCAGGCTTCTCTCAAACAGTTTGGGAGGGTTATAACAGCACACAGTGAAGACTGAAATGCTGTAGAGCAAACCCTGCCTAGTTCACCAAATAAGAAGAAACAAGTCCATTCTATTCATAAGGTGACTATGGCTTGGTACGTCCAGACATGTAATGCTGACAGCTTATTAAGAAAACACACAATCAATGACATCTTGATAAGCTCAGTTTCTATATAACTACTTCTAATAACTTTCCATTTTAATGATAATATAGTGAAATTTTTGGACAGCTGATCTTTTAACTTTGTTTAAAAAAAGAGGATTATACTAATGAAGCAGAGCCAGGACATCACGTTTTGTTACCGAAAACGATGTTCCTTTATTTGCTTCCATGGGTGCTAGATCATACTGGCTGTTCATCCTGAAGTTGTGATCCTCAGTCTTCTAGGATCCTGTCAGTGAGTCTGACTCTGCACTGCAGCCCAATTTAATCATGTGTTCTTTGTCCATTTCAGATGTGGTGTTGATATTGTGTTTCTCCTATACCTGCTTGTGTCTAAGCTCACACATTCTAGCTCAAAAACTACAAATGTTATGAGGAGACTGGGAGAAACATCATGTCTCTGAATTTCCACAACCAAATACTGCCATCCTGTCAACCCGAAGAAGATATTTTTAGCACATCTGCCTCAAGCACTGCAGAAGTATTTACCAAAAATCAGAAATCCACATGTATAAAGAGTTTGTCTACAATAGCAGGTTCATCTGCTGAGATGAAGAAAAGGAGTTCCCGTAGTTCAGGCAATAATCTGGAAGGATTAACATAATTCTAATTTTATTTTTTTATGGCACTTTTTAGAGCCTCCAATCACTTCTCCTTCACAACCCTTGGAGAGGACAGCCAGCTCCCTTATGCTCCAACTGCATCCACAAGTAAGAATCTGGCCAAGGACCAAGAACATACTCAAAGTGCAATACCTTCCACAACAGCCTGCAGGCCACAAACAGCTGATCATGATGGTTCTGCCCACTCAGTGGAGAACTAGTTTGAAGGCTATCAGGCTGACCAAGATGATAACAAGGTGTCCAGAACATTTTTATCTGAAGTAGGAAAGCTTCCACAAAACTTTTTTTTTAATATGGTAAAAGTCACATTCAAAATTCAGAGAGCTGTTAAAAAAGTTATTGATTAGCTTCAACGTTCCAATGATTTGTAAAGACCCATTTCAGCTCTGAAAACACATCTAGATTGCACACTTCAGTTGTTCTCTTCATCTGTCTCAGATTTGATTTTTAGGTCAATAAAACCAATTTTGTCATGGACTTCTGATAGAGAAAACCATGAGTACCCAAACTAACTGTGTATCTCCTCAGTCAGGGTAACAAACCTTCATAATTTATAGTAGTTCAAAAATCCCTTCACAGAATTTACATTTTCATGTAAATGCCTTCCAACAACTTCTCATTTGGCAATACCAATTCCACCAGCCAGACTTTTCACTGACAAAGATTGGAAAATAAGGCACAGTTGGTAGTGAAGTGCAAACCAAAGGGGATGTTCAGAGGAAATAACATCAGAAGTTGGCAAGGTAGCAGATGCATTCACTGACTTAAACCAGATTCAATCAACAAAAGTTTGCAATGTAAAGATCAAAGTAGGAAACTTCAGTTCCAGTATGATTTCATCCTTGATGTCTGATGCAAAAGCTGGAAGACCACCAGAAGCATAGACAGATGTCAAACCACCTTGAAAAGCCAACACTTCAAGAAAATACTAGGAATTAAAAGAAACAAGTTTATAACAAATAACTCTAAGACTTGTCAGTTGACAACTCAGTTATCAGACAGCTCCACCATCCCTGTCTCCAGAGTAACCTGGAAAAAGAGGTGGAAATACTTGAGGTGTGTCACACTGGCCATGGTGTGTATATTGTCAGGCAACTGAAAAAAAAGTCCATAATACGGCAGAATTCCTCCACAGAAGTAAATAAACTATGTGTGAGGCAAAAACTTGATGTAGAAAACCAGTTAAGAATAACCTTGTCCATGTCTTAATTCACATCCAAAATGCCAATAAACCTGAGAAAAGCATAGAGCTCAGTGGTCTCTAAGAACATCTTGCTGGTGATACATTGCTCCAAAGATTCTTCAATATTCCTTTCAAATACAAGAAATAAAAAAGTAAATGGAGAGACAGTTAAGTGCAGTATTAACTTCAGTGGGTTACTTGCTCATTATTGCTGTCCATGGAGCAGTGGCTTTTGGAGAACCACTGGTATAATTTCTTGGAGTTTGTGTAATTCTATAGACAATCTGTTTTATATTCTTGCCCCACAAGAAAGAAAGAAACTGAGATGGAGGGAATGGGTAGAGACAGAACATAGTACCCAAGGGATTGGAGTTCAATTTGTTGTTCTACAACAGATTTACTGCACAATCTCAGGGAAATCATTACTACCAGATGCTTAAAGGTATTGAGGTAATGCTTCCTGCAGGAAGGCTTCAGTGACCTGGGCAAAAAAGTACATGTCTCTGCCCTGCAGCATTTACCTTGTAGATATACATGGAGGAAGCAGCAATCCTTTGTCAATGGTATTAGCAGAACCATAGAAGTTGTAGTGCCATGAAAGAATCAGCCTGACATCCAGATTGGAACATGGCAGCTCCCAGACCAGCTCTCCTGCTTCCTCTAATGAAACGAGAGTGCTGGGAAAAGGCAGACACACGGGCTGTGCACACAGGTTGAAAACTACAATTCTTTTGGTATCTTTCTGAATTCCAGCCAATTGTGAGTGCCATTGAATAGAGACCTGGCTTCATTTGTTTGTGTTTGAGAAATTACTTAAAAATTCAAACAGAGCAGCATTTCATAAACCCTTTGCCATTTTCATATGCAGCATGAGGTCTTGGACCTTTAGAGTCTTACCCATACTTTGGCTTTAACCCCTATTTTATCATAACTCTCTTTTCTAAATATAAGGAGTTCATACTCAGCTGAACACGAGAAGGAAGAAGGAACAAGCTCCCCCACTGCCCTTACAGTCAACACCTGTGTTGATGAGGAGAGCACAAAGCAAGCAGCTGCCACCAACAGGATCTTCCTCCACCTTTCAGCACAGATGAACAAGGAAGAAGAGTTTTGGCTCCTCCTCAGTTCTAAAAGTAAAGAGCAATTAAATTTTGAGCAAGTAAATTTTGTCTTTTACACAAAACGATCTGTGCCAAGTATGGGGAGAGCACAGAACTTCTGCCTGCCCCCCTGAGGCAGGACTGCAGGTTCACACTCTGCTTTCTGAGTGGCTCTTCTTGCTCAGTCCTGGTGCTCCTCTTGCCCTCAGCCAGCTGTCCACATCAAACAACTGCAACATTAAAACCTGCTTCTCAAAACAGGAATGCACATGGCTGAGAGAAACCGCAGAGAAGGAAAGACTAAGGGGAAAAGCATTTGATTCTCTTCCATTCTCAGGCAGCCAACATACTATCTCCATACATGTCATCTTCTTGGCACAGCAAACTAACAACTTCCTATGACTAAATAAATAGAAATACAACTGACTCCTACTGGCCCGTTATGCAGAGGCAGAATGCATTACAATTAAGCAATCTCAAAATTATGAACTCTAAAGGCTATAGAGAGGAAATATTGGCTGGATAAGCTGTTCATTATAAAAAAAATATAGCTCTTTTCTTGCTAAAGAAATTGCTGTGCAGTAATTACTGCTCAAATGACAGTATGACAGTTTAAGATGTCAGGGACAAACAGTGATAATCTCACTGCTGAACATACACTCCAGAACAGGAAGCTGCAGCAAGTTTTAAAACACACAGCCTTGCAAAATGTATCCCAGGGAGTTGTTTTGCATATAAAACTCAAACTCTTCTGCAACTTTCCATCAATCACTTGATTAGGTAATGAAACTCTCCGAGTGAAAGATCCATGAAAACAGACTCTGAATAAATTAAAATTTTCCGAGGTAAAACTATATTTTACCTATGAAACTTGTTTCCAGGGCAGTCCAGCCCATGATTTGGGATTAACTCTTCCTAACATTTCCCATTGCAGGCTGGAAGTGAGAAGTGGACAAGGATGCCGAAAACTTGCCATTTCGTCCTCTGTTTCAGAGCATCAGACACCTCAAGCAACTTTACCACAAATCACCATAAATCCTGGTTTCAGCTGCTCTGTTCCAGAGTAGCTACCTCAGAGCATGTGTTCAAACTTCTAGTGCCACTGTCTGTAAAGCAGCGCCTGGTGCAGCGCAGCTATTCCCACACAAGAGAACATTAGTTAATTTGCATTCACAGTTACCATATGAGGTGTGAGTTTCTGACAGTCCACACATTTTATATTTAAAGACTGTAGGAAATTAATATAATTATCTTTGATATAATAACAAAAGTAACTTACCAGCCCATCGCAATTGCTGATAGCCACTGAAGCATTTGGCAAGTCAGTGATATCCCCAACATAGAGGCAATTCCCATAGAGAGGTTCAATGTGAGTCTCCTCAGAGTCCTCCTGCCACTCAACTGTTGCTCCAGGGGCCACGAGCTTCGAGTTTGGCCGCAACCTGAAGTGAAACTCTCTTCCAAAAACAGTGACATTGTAAAATATTTGCTCATTTGTTACTTCATGTTCCAAGTCTTCCACTGCTCTCCTGAAACGTCCTTTTGGCGGTCCAGACACCAGGTGGGATAGGAACCTGCCCTCTGAATCGGTGCTGGTGGGGATGACAAGGCTGTACTCCTCTATATTCCTCAGAATTGAATCTTTACAGGGAGAAAGCAAGAGAGGACAAAGATACTAGAACTAAACATATCCTGATGCCGCGGGATTTTTATTCCATTATTCATTAGCACAGCAGACACTTACATAAGGCAGACGGACATTGCACCCTGTGCAGGCGCTTCGTTCACCTGCATGAAGTGTGCAGAGTTCATTCAAACTTGCCTTTTGCTCCCCAAAACACCAGACGGGAGCGTGAGCCTCCCCACCCCGGCAGGACCCCGCGATTGTGCCCTTGCAGGGAGGTCCCGCTACCCTTTGCCCGCCCACCCACCCGGGACCCCGCACCTCAGCCCACCCCGTCCGGGACCGGCTCGCCTCGGGGACTTCGGGGCTACCCGGGCTGCCAGAGTTGAAGACGAGGGCGTTGGTCCGCTTCGGCACTGCTCAGAGGGACAGGGGTAGGGGCTGGGTTTGCAGGTGGCAAGTCTGCAAAGGAAAAGGCACGTCCCTCAAACTACCCCCGGCGCGGCGGGGATGGGTCGAGCGGTGATGGGAACGCCACGGGCAGCGATCGGGAGCGGTCTCTGCGGGAACCCCGGGAGCTGTGGACGGAGGCGATGGCCGGGGCAGGAGGAGGAGGCAGACCAGCTGCCATGTGTCTCATCCCGCACGGGGAACTCCAAGCACCGCGCCCTGCCCGCCGGGGCTCGCCCGCTCCGCGGGGCAGGCAGCGGGCGGCGCGGGGCTGCGGGCGCAGCGCTGTCACCGCCGGGCGCTGCCCCGTCCCTTCTCCCGCTCCCCGTCCCCGCCTGCCCCTTGCAGGAAACAGCTGGAAACCCGGCAAAAAGTAGCCGCAGAAGAAGTTCAGGGGGAGCGGAAAGCCGCGGGGCGACGAGCCGCGACTTGGGACGGGCGGGCTGGCGGGCACCGGGGCAAAGGCGAGCAGCCCCGAGGGGCGTCCCGGCGGAGACCTACCTCTGTCCCCGGGGCGCCGCAGGGCGCCGGCGGGCAGGGCGAGCGCGCAGCAGAGCAGGACGCAGGCGATGCCCGCGGGAGGGTCCATCGCGGCGGCCCCGGCCCGAGGCGGGGGCCGGCGCCCGGGCTGCCCGCAGCCGGGGCGGGCCAAGGCGGCAGCCCCGCTCCGCGCCGCTCAGCGCTGCCCCGCGCCCCGCCGCCCGCGCATTCGCCCAGCCGCAGCCGCAGCGGCAGTGGCGGCCGCGCTCCCGGCTCGCAGCGAAGCAGAGACACCAGGAGGCGGCGGGGGTATAGTACTGGAAGCACAGGGCGTGCGGAGTGAAGTCAGGCTGATTGACAGAGGCGCTGCCACACGGCGCAGCCGGGGCCGCGGGGAGCGGGGACGGGACCGCCCGCCCCGCCGGGGCAGCCCCCGCGCCGCCCCCGCCGGGCTTCCCCGGCCGGCACCGCCCGCCGCTCCCCCGCTCCGGGACGGGGCCCGCCGGCGGGGACGGGACTAAGCAGAAGGCGTTTTTTAAGGCAAAAAAGAAACGCCCCCGCGCCGAGCTCGGGACCCCCGGGCGTTGGGGCAGCGTCTCGCTGCCGAGCCCCGAGGGCTGCTCCGTCCCGGCTCCCGGCTGTGCATCCACTGGTGGTCAAGGAACACCAGAGACAGATAAGCACCTCGGCGCGAGTTTTGTTGGAATCTTGGTTTCCAGTTGACAGCAAGGACCCAAGTGGAAAAAGTGCCATCAGCAGAGGCAAGCCACAATCAGAGATCATTATCTGATCCGATAAATTAACTCTAAGCAGCCATTTCACAAGAAAAATTGTTTGGACTATTAGCTAATAAGACTGAAATTACTTGCTGCAAAGCCATCTTATATTAAATATCTGCAATTAGAGAGATAGACCCTGAAAGTGTTTAGGAATACTATAAATAAGATATAAGAGAACATTTTTTAAAATTATATAGAAGAAGATTTTTTAAAATTATTAAAGAATCAAGAGTGGCCTTTATGGAAAAAAACAAGTTATATTTGTTTCCATATGGCCAGGATAAATGCCATATCGCTTATTCCCTTCAGATAATGTATGTATTTACTCAGCTGTTTCATTACTTGGATCATCTGCTGCTTTCACCACTTTACTCTTCAACCTTGCAGAATCCTATCAGCCCTTCTCGTGCTCCCGCTGGCCCTGCCAGCCCATGGCCTTACCTGCCACGGGCTGATTCACACTGTACCTGCATGTGTTATACCCCTCTGGAAATCCGCATGCAGTGGCTTCCTGAGGGAAGCTGGTCCTCTGCCAAGGATTTTTCCTGAGTATCCTTGACTATTCTTGCTCCTTTTTGACTAAAGGTCCAGTTATTACCTTCCACCCCTACATTATGGACACAGGTGAAAGGGATAGAAATAAAATAACAACTCACTGCCCATGATGAGGTTTTATGGACCCCAGCCCTGGTCAGTTATGGCAGCACCTGATTTCTGCTTGCTTAGTTTGATGTTCTGGTTTGGTTTTCCCACTTTTTAGGTTAAGAATAAAACAGAAAAGATTATTCTTAATAATGGAGTAGATCAATTTGTTCATTGCATTCAAACATCCCTTTACTTATCATTTCAAACGACCTCTGTTTGGGATTGCTATCTGCACCAGGCTTCTCCCTGTTCTTCCTTTTTCTGTTGGCTCATTTTTTTGTTTTCTTTTGGTTTTGAGTCCATATTGAGCAGCTTCTCTTACTTAAAATCTCGTATACTTTCATCAGTACACAGCTGGTAAAGTTCCAACTTCATTTTTATTGGACTTGTATTTTAAGCTGATGATGTGGCTTTTTTATGTTCCATCCATCCCATCCTGCTCAAATTGAAATAACTTCTGCACATAAACTTGAAAGGGAGAGGGGATGGTCCTCTATATCTGAAATCAAAGTTCTTGTTTGTACATCATGATCCAGAAAAAAACAAGGACACAGAGTAGGTTATAGAAATACAAAACAATCCAGCCAATACTTCTGCTAATTAAGATGGATTTTTACTTTTGAAAATACCGGAGGTTAGAAAACACGCTTTAATATGGATAACAGCTGTACTGCAGAGTAATGGTATAAACAAAAAGAAGCAGTAACTGCCTTCATGTAGTTTATTTCTATACAGAAACCAAGTTCTATGTGCACATTTGTTACCTTATCATACGTGGACAAAACTCTGTGGGCTTCAGGGCTTGGGGGGACTGTTTTACAACCTTCTTTAAAATGTTAAACAAAACTAAACTGAGAACAAGTGTCAAACAATGGAGCCAGATATGCTGTTGTTAAAATCTGTGCTTCCACTGAAGTTGCTGGGATAAATCCTGATCCCCCACTGAAGTCAGTGAGAGTTTTGCCATTGACTTGGGTAGAGCCAAGATTTTCTGCAATAGATTCCCAGTGCCAATTTTTAGACCAGCTGAGAATGTGCCACATGGCACAGCAATGGGCCCATTATCCTTCAGGAGGAAAAATGGATCCATGTTTGACCCTGAGAAGGTGGTCCAGAGCATACCAACCACTACAGAGCCTAGAGGAGTGAAATTCAAAAAGTTTTTACTTTTTGAATCCCTACTCTTACACCATCATAGCAGAGAAATTCAGGGAAATATCCTCATCAAAACTAGTTCTTTCCCGTTTCCTGGACTAGAACTCTTGACACAGGCAGTCGAGGTTGTGGCCTGGGTTTCCTTGGTAGGACCTTGCCATGGTTGGCTCCAGCAAGATGTTTCAATTCCTTTTAATACTAACTAGAAAAAGTTAATGTGAAATGTAAGGACTGCTGCATTACTTATAGCCCATGAACCTCTAAAGTAAGTGATGTGAATGAAGTAAGGTCATATTTATTTATTGGAATGAAGGGAGGAGGACTAGATAGTGCAACTGTGCACTACCTGAGTTTGATCTGAGGGCACGGCTGGGCTGTTGCCTGCCATGACTACAATCACACAGATGTTTGCCTTCACTGGATACAGGTATATAGAAAGGAAGAAATGGTCCTCTGTGTGTCCTGAATGAGTACCAAGGCTGAAGGAAAAGTGTTCTAGCAGCTTATGTTGAAATAACCAAAGCAGCTTTAAACAAGCTGAGGTACAAACAGCCCTGTAACTGAACCGATGAGAAGTTCAGCACAGATCGACAGAGCATTTACTTGGATTTACAGATCTTCTAGTCCTCACCAAGTCTGTGCTATCTGTTCCTGTTCCAGCTAGGGTACATCTGCAAAAACTGCAGCCAGACCTTCCCTTGGAGATGTTCTCACAACATTTAATTTTGCTTAGGAAAATGAAAAGATCCTAAGCTTAAATCTTCAACCACTGCTTTGAAGGTGTTCAAAATACCACTTATAACTGCTCATTGCAATGAGAAACCTTGCATTTGAAATTTCTAGGGAAAATCACTCTTTTCCTTACATTAGGGGAACTGTGAGGGGAGATGCTGGGCTGCAGCACTGTGCCTTCTGCTGAGGGCACATCATCACCCGAGCAGGTGACTTAGAGGCTGCTTACAGCCCTCATGACACAAAGTAGTCCAAGTTCTCAGGCTAGAGGCTCCCAGAAGGGGAGTTCTCAATCCTGACCTCCTGATGGAGAACATGGTACCTGTCTGCACAAGGACTGTGTGTTACCTGCACTGTGTTTCTCATGCAGATGGTTGTCTTTGCTCTCACCCTTAGCTGCTGTGCACACTTTGTGGCTATGCAACATTATAAAGCTTAATAAAAAAGAATTAAAATTAAAATAGGGTGCCAATTCATTTCCTTCACACTTGGCATTTCCAGGCTTCATATTGTTTGAACCCTTTTGCCATTACGTGGCACTATGATATACTACCTAGAAAAAAAAGCATGTATTTAATGCTGATTTTGAAGCAGTGCATGCTAAAGAGCAGTAATTAAAACTGGAGCAGTCCTGCCTTTCCTCCCCTTTACTCTAGCACAGTAATGAAACAATCCATCACACAAAAAATAGACCAATGTAACAATTAATAAATTACCAAATTATCAAGCTCCTGTTATTAATTTCACTTCCACTCCCTTTTTTAAAAAGTGCCAAAGAAATATTCTAAGGTAAGTAAAGTGACAATAAACTAAATTAAAGCAGTAGTACCCAGGTTAGTCACTTTGATTCCTGAAGTAAGAAATTAGGCAATAATACAAAACATTAAAATCTATAATTGGTAACTAATAAAATCCTACCTTCAACAGCAAACTGTTGATTGAACGTATAAAAGAGGGGCATGCCCTCTGCCTGCCTATCCTGAGATTTCTGAGGACCAGCTCCTCAGCCCTTCCTAGGCATTGCTCAAAGTGCCCAGATTCCTCAGGAGACTTGAATGACTCTGCCAAGCCAGGGGCAGCACAGGACATGCTACAGAACTTCAGGGCCTTAAGGAACTTGACTGACAAAAAAACCTTCAAGAGTTACACATTTTGAAGTCTGTCCCTGTTGGACTATGAGACTTCACTGTCCCTTTAGCTGTCTAAGACGCAGATGTGCAGTCCTCCAAGGTGGAACAGAGCAGCAGAGGTTCCTCCCAACCTCTATCTGTGTGTCACTGCTGGGACACCTGCAGCCTGAGGCAGTAAAAATGACAGGCCTAGAGATTAATCTGCCAGATGCTGGTCACACAGGGACCAGTTGTGGGCACATTCTTGGGTCTATACACATTGATAACACAGGTTCAAATTCCTTCTGCTCTGGCCCAGAGCTTCTGCCTGACCACAGCCTTGCACCTGAACTGTACACACGGGAGTTTGCACTCGGATCCAGGGAAGGAAGTAGCAGAACTGGGGGGATGGATCCAAGTTTCCTTCAGCACCTTCATTGTTTGGTTCAGTCACTTTGTCCTGATTTTGTGGCCCATGGTAGATGTTCCATCCTAAATCCCCTTAACATTTTCCCCTTAGTTCCCCTTCTCTGTCAGCATAACACATAAAGTTTTATTGTTACCACTTCTTTCACTAACTATCTGTATTTACCTGCTGGCATAATTGTGTTTTGATAAATAGTACAATCCCTCCCCTACATTTTCACCTTGATTCTTCCTGTGCAGATTTATTGCCTCGCTATTAATAT